AATTAAGTGTATCGCAAAGTTATATTCAGAAAGAATAAACCAGTTTTACTTAAGAAAGGACTTTTATCGGTAAAAGTTTCTTCGGAAAGAATTTTTACGGAAAATTAACTAACGGACGGAGACGTAACAATACTAATACATAAAACTGAATATAATAATCTAACTTAGTTGACAAATAATAAGTCAATATCATATGCTGTCTTTGTGTCTATGAGTCAAAATTAATCTTAAAGACATGTTAACCAAACATAAAACGCATTTCAGGATAACTTCTGGGATATATAATATATGAAATGCAGTAATGCATATCTGCAATATTTAACTTAAAAATGTCTACTGAAATAAATGTGTGGAAATATTCTTATTACCTATAGAAAGTTTTATAGACTTAGAAGTTCCTTTTTCTGCTTTTGCCTGCTGCAAATATCCTAACAAGGTCATTAATATCTAGCATTTTGAGCGTATCACATGCAATGCACATCAGTGCAAGGGCGTCTAACCTATCTTTGTCCATTGTTGATCGGAGATAGTTTTTGACCCTACTCAATGTTGAAAATGATCTTTCTCCTTCACAATTGTTGACTGGAATAGTTAAGTATATTCGAACTGCTGTTGCCACATTTGGGAATGTTAGAAGCAGTAAACTATTAGGTTTTAGTAAATCACTCATATGCTGTATTGATTTATCATCCCTTAACAGCTCCGTGAATTGGCAGAATTCTTCCACTAAAACAGATTCCAGGTCTTTGGGATAAGCTTGTACAAGGTCTAAGATCTGACTCTGCAATTGGTGTAAAATCAGAGGGAAATTCTATGAGAAAAACAAATAGTTCCTGTAATTTACAATAGGCTTCAAGCCTTTTGTTTAATTTTGTAACAAGACTGTCACACACACACACACAATAGAAAGTTCCAATTCTGAACTGATCTTTAGGAGACAGTTGTGCTGCAGTTGTTGGACTTTCATAAAAAAAACGTTTCGGACGTTTAACACGTTTCTGTGCAGTTTTATATGAGAAATCTTTGACAAAAGTGGCTGCTGTTTGTTCAAAATCACCAAAATTGTCTCAGTTTTGGTACAAATGTTAAGAGGGACTTGTACAGATTGGTTACAGTGAGAAGGTCAATTGTGGGACTTTGCAAAGCTATGCTAGTTGTATTGAATCGTTCTAATATGATGTTCCATATAACTGTCATCAGAGCAGTTTCGAAAGACTCCACTTGTTTGATCAGGCCTCCCGCCTCGGCCCTTGTAGTCATTGTTTGGGTTCTGTCTTTGTTAATTTTAAGGAGAAAATTCGTGATTTCGCAATAATAGTTTCTAACAGCCTTAACTGCATCAGCTCTGCACTCCAACAAGTGTTTGACAAAGACGTGACCACTAGACCTCCTTTCTCTATAGCCTGAACTAAACAGTACCATTTGTGTGTGGAGGATGAAAAGAATGTGTACAGGTTTTGCAGGAAATTAAAGAAAGTTATTGCATCAAGACAACTGTCCGCTGATGAGGCCCCAACAAGATTTAGTCAATGAGCAGCACATGGCAGAAAATGGGCAACTGTATTTAATTCTTTGATTCTGTCCTGCAAACCTGAATATGCACCAGCCATATTAGAGGAATTTTCATAACTTTGCCCACGAAGGTTACTAATGTCAAGGCCTAGATCTTCAGTTATGACGTCTTTCACTACATTGGCTAAATTTTCTGCTTTATGTGAATGGACCTCAACAAAATTGATAAATCTCTCAATTGGTTTTCCGTGTGATACCACATACCTGATTATGAAAGTCAGGTGATCCACGTAACTAATGTCAGAGGTTGAATCAACGCTAATGGAGAAGTATTCTGCTTGTTTGATCTCGGAAACAATTTCCATTAACAGTTGTTTTAGCATCGATTTAATAAGTTCTTCGCATATGATTTTTGACAAGTAAGATGGGGAACCTTTGCCTGCCCCTGCATACTTTTGGATGTGTTGAGCTAGAAAAGGGTCAAACTTGGCTAGCAACTCAAGTATACCTAAACAATTACTATTCTTAGATGACTCAAATTGTTCATCATTCCCACGAAAGGCTAGGCCCCTTGCTCTAAGAAACTTTATTACTTCAACAATACGTCTCAAGACTGATTGCCAGTACTTCTTTTCCTCCTCCAACTCCCTAACAAGATCTTGGTCAATTCTATGCTCATCTGATGCTCTGTCATGCCAAATTCTAATGCAGTTTTTGTACTTAGAACTGTTCTCATGCTTCCTAACCCTGCTATGGGGATTTTTCCAATTACTGAAACCATTTATGAATGCTTTATCTTCATTCTTTTGGCAAAACACTTTGCAAGGAGCACAGTACACACACCCAGTAGACAGAGAATAAACTAGCCATTCCCTATTTACTTTCTCACCATTTAACATAGTTCTTTCAAACAAAGACTTGGTAAGGTAGCGTTTGTGCCCGTTATGCTCTCTTTCAGATCTTGAAAAGTCCTGCTTATAAATGTTTTGCTCTATCAGCTTTTTTACAATTTCTTCTTGGAAATGCCTATCCACTTTCCATAAGGTAGGAGCTGACTGTAGGATATCATCCGAGGGTAGGATAGAATTGTCTGATGTTGATGATCCAGGTTGACAATCTTCGGATTGAATGGGTGCAGAAACATCAACATCCATCTGGGCAACTGGTTATTCTGAAAAGTGGAGCTTATGTATGATGGTAATTTTAGGATAAATTTATCAATGGTCAGTCAAAATTTTTTCTCATTGCAAATGTTCTACATTTAAGCTTTATGAAAAAAAAACTTACCATCGTTGGAAATTTCAGTATTCTCTTTTGAAGGCCCTGCTTTTCCATAATTTTGGAACTGATTTCAATGATTCTTGGGCTCTTTTTTGTTTGCGGCGTTTTTTCAGCACCACTGAGATAAACTCTATGCTTCTGCTTTTCTGACATGGCATTGGTAAGTTGCGATGCTTATCTCAGGTGTTCTGCAAGGTCTGCCGGTGTCGCTGCACAGACTCCCCTCCACTGCACTTATTGCAAGGGTGAAGTTAGAGTCTTCCAGAGCTCTGAGTGCTTGTGCAGAACAAACTTGCACCAAAATAAAAAACAACGAGATATACACTGTATATGTTTGCTAAATTACACTTCAAAAATAACCAAAGCTTTGTGATAAAAAAAAATAGGGAAAGACTGACCACACTCTCTCCAATATAGTCCTTAATTTTCATATAGGGTAATATATATGCTTATATATTTGCTATACATGGGTTTGTTTATTGCATCTTTCTTTATCATTAGGGACCCCTTTCTCATGATTTGCACAACATATGCCTGATCAATTCCTTCAGATCCACACATATTTCATACTTCAACATGTTATCCTGTATAATCATGTATGTAATGGTGGGGCCCCTATATATAGGATTAAACATACCTCCAGTTCGTAAACTTTCATTACAAATGTACGATTTTTTATTTCTATCATTCTATATGTACTATTCACATTACTTATCTATTGATTTTATTCATTATTTGTTTAGTTAACTTTTTCTTGGCTGCTTGGGGGCCCCCTTCCAGGTGTGGGCCATAGGCACGTGCCTACCTTGCCTAATGGGTAATCCGGCCCTGCTTCCGTGTTTCTCTGTAAGTGTTTTACAGAGGAAAGAGTAAGATATTCACCTCTTTCATGACTGGGGTATGAACTTATTTAATTGGATTTTTAAAGTTAGGAATAGCTAGGACAGCCTGAAAGTAAAGGGAGTATAAAGAAATAGTATATAGGATTACCATGCGTTTTCTCTCTTATTTAAATCTGAACATTTGACAGGTAGTGGATTTTTCATTGAAGAAAGAATAGTAATGAATTTGTTCACACTACACTTGAGGGGAACACAGTTTTACCTAGTGTTTTTAATAATAGTAGTAAATGTTTCAATTGAATAGAATTGAAATATTCATAAGTGGGTGAAATTAGCTGAATAAAGTGAAATCCACAATCTGTAGCTTATGTATCATATGAATATAAAACCAGTGTTTTATTTGGTTATAATTCAATATTTTCAATCGTTAAAATTGAAATATATTTGTAGGAAAACAATTTTATTGAATATTTTCTTAATATTGTGTAATTATAAGGTTCAGTTGAAATGCATGAAAGTGTAGACTGAGTATACAACCAGAGTTAGAAAGTAACACCATTGTGATGTCACTTAGTAGCTTGACTCTGGTCTGACTAAGCTTTTGTCTTTAAGGAGTCTAATGGAAGTGGGATGTCGTTGTTAATGGATTCCAATGGTAAGAAGCTAAAGATTGGCACTTGTGTGGTAGCTAGTTTGTTTTGGGTTATTTTGTTGGAACTAGTGTCTGTAGTTTTGCCACATTTCTTTTCCGCTGAACCTGGGCTCTATTTGTATAACCAGACGGTAGTGAAAGGGATACTGTTGGGTTCCAGAGTATCTGTTGTCGTGGCAGTAGCAGAGATATGATGAAGCTTGGGAACTAGGATTGCCACAGGTACAGGAAATACATTTTATACAAGTGATATATGCGTGAGCACACATAAAGCCTGTATAAATTTCACTTGACTACAGCATTAATTTTTCCATTATATCTAGAAGCAGGGAATTTTTGTAACTCGGCCATTAAAGTTCTAGCTGAACCTATGACCAATTAAACTTTATTTAACCATACAATCCAGTCCTTTTTCTATTTAAAATTAAGTCCTAACCCTTCTGTATATTTTGCCCATTCAACTAGCAGGATTTTTGTGCTGACAAACTGTGCTTTTCCTTATTGCATTATAAAACTAGAGATTTACTCAGAAATCTTTATTTTTGAGATCTTGATGACCGCCCCCAGTGGCACAGCGGTATGTCTGCAGACTTATAATGCTAGAAATCGCGTTTCGGTACCCGTGGTGGGCAGAACCCAGATAGCCCATTGTGTAGCTTTGTGCTTCACTACAAACAAACAAATCTTGATGACCTGAAGACTTATTCTGATGTACCTAAATCACCAGGAGAGCTTCTCATTTGACTAGGAAGAGCTCATGAATGTAATGTATTATTGGTTGATGCATCTGATACATGCAATCTGACCAAATTTACTAACAGGCTTATCCAGAAGTCTCCCAAACCACCACAATGTGCCACTGGTTAATCCTTAACGTCTCTGTCCATATAATGTAGTCCTGCATCAGCTAAGTCTTCATTTACGTCCATTCTGTCTTAGTTTGTCTACCATTCAACCTATGGTGAGTGTGCCAACCCTTGAGCCAACAACTGAACCAATGAAGGAGGAGACAAAGGCAACCTCGGGACCTCACCCTAAGATTATAAAGTGCCTTATTGGAGGATGCACTTTCACCAGACGTAATCAATATCAAATGTGTATTCATCTTTAATGGTACCACTACATATAGAAGCCCAAGATAGCATTCCCAGAGTTGAAATCTAGCAAATATTCTTAATACTGGAAGCCAAGCACTAATGCAGTGAGAAGACTCAGCGACATCCACGTGGCCTTCAACCACATTAGTAAGAGTGGCCATTGTCAATTTAGGGGTCTGAATGTCCACAGTTGCCAACCAATCGCCACTCAATCAATTCCCTAACAAGCATCTGTGACAACAGAAGATGGAGCCCCTGTTGACTCTACACCTGGCATCTCATGATTCAGTAAATACCAATCTTGAAGTTGCACTGTCAAGTCCAAGTCATTAAATGGATGTAGGCTGAGGCATTCTGCAGCAGGGAAAAGGATCACTTGCAGATATACAACAAAGAAACAAGCCAGCTGGAGGAGCAGGTAAAGTGACCACGAGGTGACTTAGATCAAATCTGTGAGATCTTGGTGAAGGCCAAGGAGATAATATGACATACCATTGCTATCAACAAGAAGTTTTCTGCAACCATAGAAAACGTGTTTATGGAACTCCAATGGTCACCAAGGTTGAGTGATTAGTACACTTTTGTGAAAATACTTGTTTTGTTGTAATTATTGTTATTTTGTTGTACAAAATTTTTATCTTCTACAGAACGAGCTCAAGTGCTCCAAACACAGAGAACATAACATTTTGATAACCTCCACATAATCAATCTTCAGAATCCAGTGTTTACAAAACATCACTTTTCATATTGTCAGGCAAGCACTCTCCAAGTGCACTTACTTTAAAGCATTGATTTTGTGAACAGCCATTTGTAAAATATATACATACAATTAAGTATTTTGTCATTTTCACTTTCTATATTTTCATTCTAACTGTATATTTTGTATTTGTGTTTCTGCTGTTTAAGTCCCGATGACCACCGGCTACTAACTTTCTGAGTAGCCAATGCAAGTGTTGCTATATTTCATTTCAACAATAAAACTAGTGGATGAAACTGTTTGAAACTTCATAAGAACGTTCATAAATGCATGTAGTTTAAGAAACATAAAGCCTGTTATTAGTATCTTTTTTTACATGGGTAATTGCAATATATTATGCCACTATTACACTTCGTCAAGTACTCTAGTACAGTTTTCCAAAACGCCTGTCCCAAGACAGGTACTGGTCCTTGAATTAATTTCTACTGGTCCACAATGTGTCTTGGCTGTTGAAAGCACTGACACTTACTTTCGTTTTTTCAATATTTGATAACTAAAAGTCACCTAAATAAAGTAAAAAGTTTTTTTTGAAATAAATTGTTTTTTATTGTAAATATGGGAATTATTTTACTTACGTAATTACTAGATATTTTATTTGGAATGTCGGTACCTGAAAATATTTTTCGAATTTTACCGGTCCGTTATTTCCAAAAGTCTGGGAACCACTGCTCTAGTATGTTCAAGATACTTTCCGAAGCTACACTCAGTAGCTCTTATGGTATTGTCTAGGGTCCATCAAACTTAACTAATTTAGGTTTCATGCTTCAGAAATAAATAATTACTGGCAAAATTTGGACAAATTAAGACTTTTTAACTAAAAGTTGTTTCCAGGATTACATTTTATACTCCTGCACAGTGTTTCAATGTACATTCAGAAGAAACACGACTCCTCATAGATCACAGATCCAACATACTTCTAAGGTAAATAGATGAAGACCTGCTTCCCAGTGGCACGGCGGTATGTCTGCAGACTTACAATGTTAGAAACCGGGTTTCGATACCCGTGGTGGGCAGAGCACAGATAGCCCATTGTGTAGCTTTGTGCTTAATTACAAACAAACAAGATGAAAATCTAGTAAATACAAGAGGTATGCTCCATAAAAGTCAGATTATGTGGATGATTCTCTCAAAACGTCAGATGACATTTTGCATCCGAAAATTAAGCAAATGGCTTTGAAAGCAAGAGCTGAAACACCTTTTTAGTCATCAATCTTTTGACTAACTGACCATCCTAACTTTGATGACTAAGTAGCAGTATGAAATGTAATCCATAAGGTGAAGTGCATATCATCACCACACCTAATACTTTACTCAACTCAGCAAACAGTTGGCTGTTGAAATTGGTTTCCTGATCTGTGGAATTTTTTTCTGAATTATGCTATCCAGTTCTTTGTCAACACATCAACTATTGCCTGTGTTAGTGTATCAATCAATGGATAAGCTTCAACCCACTTTGTGAAGTAGTTGATGGTGATGAGTATGTATCAATGACCTCTTGTAGTCTCCAAAGCAGATCAGTGATGTT